GGTCGATGGTATATTGTGTCCTTTTAGCAAAACGACTTGTTTGTCGGCCAACAAATGATCAAAAATTTGTTCTGTTTTGGCCAGATCAAACGTATAAACCTTACCAGTATCAGCCGTACCCTTCCTGGCCGATGAAGTCGATGGCTGAGTACCACTGGTGGATACATTTGGTGTTGTTAAAGCGTCACATACATAAGGTTTCTTTAGAATGACTTCGGCTAAATTAGCTTCAAAATCTTCCTCTTCAACTACATCAGTTGATTAAACTTCATAGTTGGGGTCCCTATAGTACGTACCTTTAGAGGAATTTTTTCGTTCTTTCTCCTCTTTGAGAACCAACTCATACCTGGTAGCTTTCTCAGCCAGGTCATACATGTCACGAAATGGAACTCCTTCAAACCTCTTCCGAAGTTCAAAATCAAGGTCGTTCAAAGCCAAACGAATGTACTCCTATTCTGGAAGAGATACACGACATCTTAATCTTGCTCTCCTGAATCTTGCAATGAATGTCTCGACCGATTCACTAGGCAATTGACTTAGCCTAGATAAATCGGCCAGAGTAGGTTCTGTCTCCGTACGGTAGAACTGATTGTGGAATAATTCCTCCATCTGTGGCCAATTAAAAACTGAGTTAGGAGGTAGACGAATATACCATGAAAAAGCTGCCCCTGTCAAAGAGTTAGGAAAAAGTCTCAATTTCAACCACGGGCTAACACTGGCTTCTCCACATTGAACCGTGAATCGGCCAATGTGTTCTACGGTCGATTGATTCCCCTCTCCACTAAAGGTTACAAAGTCAGGGACTTTATATCCTCTAGGGAACTCAACTTGGTCTACCACTTCTGGATAAGGAGTTATATAAATTGGTCGGCCGGCACCTCTAAGTTCCAGGCCATATTCTTCTGTGAGTAAATCAGCTAATTGTCTTCTATCTAACATGACTTGAGGTGGCTGATTTAATATTGGTGGTACCTGATTAAAAACTGGCAGCTGATTAGCCACTGGTTGATAGCAATTCGACCAATCATGTGGCTGATTAGCCATATTCTGCCCCCTGAGCCCTACCTGTGGCGGCACATGAGTATACAGTGGGTTTGGTGGCCTCCACCTGATCTGATTGCCCCCCAAGTTCAAAGGCATCCGAGGAGGGTTTGGTGGAATTACCTATGGCCGCGAACCTGCTACTGGTGGCTGATTAGAACCTGCCAACGTAAGCTGAGGATAGCTTTTTGCCCAGGTGAGTAGCGTATGAACCGGCTGACTTGATGTTGCACCTGGTTGGAGTGTCACTACTGGCGGCTATGGCTGTGATGTTTCAATGGCCCTCTCTGGCCGAGCAGCTTGTGATAGATTCAGCTGAGAAGCCGATTCCTGATTGTTGGAGCTGCTAGCTTGAGTCGGCTTGTTCAAAATAAAGGCTGAGAGTTGGGACATATTTTCATGCAAGTCGTTGTTGCGTGCTCCCATCCTTCCTATTGCATCTACCAAGGAGCTAACCTGTGCTTGAAGTACGGCTAACTCATCAGTAGGACCTGCTGCAGAGTTCTCAGCCTGTACTGGTTGATCGCCTTCCTCCAAATCTTCATCAGTAGCCACGGCCTTAGAATTTTTTATGGGCCGCGGCATATTTGCCTCTTTTATAACACTCTAGTAGTTGTCCCACCAGGCGTGCCAAAACTTGTTCGCGCGGTTTTTATTCCCTACGCCGGTCGATGGACTCTTCGCGGGCGTGCCAGAGTATTTGTACAAAATACCCAAAATATGTAATTGAACACCAGCCTATCCCTTTTTCCGATGGCGGACTCTCAGGCGATTGTGTAGGAGAGAGACTAGTAAGAACTCCCAGCAAGATTCTTTTATGCCTTGTTTGTAGCAAGGACTTTTTAGGGTGTCTAAAGAAATGCAACGGCTGATGAATGTTTGAATGGATGGAATGGCCGAGTGAAGACAGGCGGCAAGAACTTAATCGATCGCCGGCCGAACGTGATGGCGAGAACTTAATCAATCGCCATCAGCCAAACACAATGGCAAGAATTTAATCGATCGCCACTGAAACGTGATAGCAAGAATTTAATCAATTGCCATCAGCCAAGTAATGACAATAATTTAATCAATTGTCACTACGATTCAATGGCAAGAATTTAATCAATTGCCATTGAATTGAAAGCCTAACTAAAATTACGTAATTAAAATTGGCATAATTGAAACTGAAAGAAAGTAAATGGCTGAATCGAAATAGTTGACGAGGATCTAATCAATTGCCATTAAATTGAAATAAAGAAATTGATAGGAAAATGACGTAGAGTCAATTGAAAACATTTTTAGTTGAAATGTATGTTTTGTGGTGGTGCTGGACGAATTGGAAATGGAATACAATACTTCTATTTATAGAAGTTCTATCTCAACTTATTTTCCTAATTAATTGCTAGAAAATCTCTTTGCTCCTTGATTTTCTTCACTTTATTACTCAAACTAAACCACGTTCTAGTAGTCTTTTGCGTCTCTTCTCTTCTTGCTTCAATAGGAAAGTCCTTGCTGAAATCTCTCCTTGATCCAGTCAAATGCAAGTTGTCGAGAAATATGCTGAAAATTTGCTGGAAAGTTGCTAACTTTTAGCAACTCCTTTCCTTAAGTTAGGCTGAAAACTTCCCTTAAATGGCTGGAAGACCATTCATAACTTTTGCCCAAATTATCCCTCACGTGACGGCCTCTCCTTTGAATTCCTTATTCCTTTGCAACGAAATTCCTATTTCATAGGAATCTCATTCCAACTAAATCTCTTCTATCCAAACTGAAATAATATATTTGAATTAACTCAAATATTAATTACCAAATTTCAGCAACAACCTTGTTGGATAAGGTGGCTAAATTCCTAGATTTTCTCCTCTTGTTTCTTAATTGGCCGACTTTTCTTGAAACCATACTAAACAAGTGTCAGCCCATTGCTGGTCCACGTCACCACTGAGGTGGCTGCCAAGTTTTGGTGCCAACACATAGACATATGGATAGAATGAAATGATCAATTGGAAGTATTAATCAACACAAATCATTGTAAGAACAAGATTCATATATATATCAAGTGTCAAGACAACATTACAACACAAATCCCCTCAAAATACAAAGCACTAAGGTCTAGAAGGCATGCTTAGGGCTAACTCTAGCCCCAAGAAGATGTTTAGTCACTCATTGATGTAGTCATCCAACCCTCAAGGGCCATCTCCGTGGTAGAAAAGCTCTTCTCCTTGATGGGAACCCTAGAAGAATGGAAGAACTCCCAAAATAATGTATGTCTCTAGCCTCTCCTCCCTCTTTTCTTAGTCTCTAAGTATGTATGTGTGTATGTGAAAATAAATGTTGCTCTTAAAATGACTCCCAATCCTTATATAGGTAGCTCAAGTGTCACACCCAATGGTTTGGACTCGTGCCCCAGGCCCCTTCAATGATTGCACTATGAGCCATCTTTTAATGAGCTGGACTCTATTTTAATTCAGACTTAAGGAGGTTCGATCGATCGAGTTCAGATGAGATCAATCGAACTGTGACCAGATCCATCGAATTTAGGCTAGATCGATTAATCTTTGATGGTGCCTTTTTGGAATAAGACAAATCTGAGATATTTTTGGGATATTTTGGGAAAAAGACAAAAGTAGTAGGTGAGGATAAGATCAAAAAAGTTTGATCAATCTAAAGAAAGTTGGATCGATCGAATATGGAAATTCTTTGAGGATAAAGACAAGGAGTCTGATCCATCTTGGTGAGGTGAGATCGATCGAAAGTATTCCTGATCAATCAAAGATTGCTGATTTCTTCCACTCTGCTTCCACTTTGCTCAATTCTTCCATTCAGCTTGAGATGGCTTCTTTTATGTTCTAATTTGGCTAAACTGACTTATTGTAGGGATAAGCACCTGAAAAGAGTAATAACATGAAATTAGTCTAAAATGGGGAAGTAAGATAGATAAAGGTCCTAAAATACTTCAGCTTAAGAGGTTTAAATGCCCATTTTTTAGCGCTCATCAACTTGATACTCACAGTAATCAATAATTTGAAAAAGGTTGTCAGCTTGCCAAAATAGAGCTATTCCACCAGCCTTACCAACTAGGTTAATGCACCAACCATAACCAAAATTTAAGCGTCATTGCAGTCGCTTAATTTTTCTTGAATCATTTTTTGTTTCGAGCAGAGCAATGATATCCAGAGAATGAAGCATTTTAAGCTTCATTAATTACTGTGCTGTGAGAGAATTCCCCATGCCCTGACAATACCAAACCAGAATTTGCAGGTGGCTATGGTGAGCCTCACAGCGAGGACTGTTGTCTGAGCAGATGGGTGAACGCACCACCTAGCAGGAAAAGGTATAGCTGAAAGAGGAGAGTTACAGCCTATACCAGCAGGAGGCATAATTGGAGTAACAGCTTGGACCCTTGCATTAGAGCCCACTTCATTAGTCCTCACAGAGTTTGATACATGGACTTGACCCAAACTAGGATCCAATAAATTAGAAGGCTCTGGCCCATTTTAAGCTGTTGGCCCATCACCAGCCCATAGAGAGACATCAGTTGGGTTTAAAGGAGAAGCCCAATTCAACGCTGAACCTCGGCCCAACGGCCTTGACATATCCTTCTCGCGTACTCCAGACGCTTCTAGCACACCTTGGGATTCATCCCGGCACCGATGGAGGGTTCCGCCGACAAAACCAACGGCTCCAGCACGGGGGACGCGTCACAGAGACCACTAACACCAACGTCGGAGACCATAGGCAACACTGCTGTGGATCTGCTGGACACTCAAAGAAAAGAAAAAGAAACAAGATGTTTCCTCGCACTGATGTTTTGCAACACCAAAGGGTCCGGTTGATGCCCCAAAAGAGATAAAACAAACAGGCAAGTAAAGGCACTGCACAATCCCAACAGGCAATACACAGTACCAAGAAGATCAACCCTTTCTCCAAAGAATTCTATATACAGACCATAGAAACAGGACAAAGTAGGAAGATAAAAGAGCATATCAATGGTTGAAACCAAGGAGAGCATAACAATTTCAGATGAGAAGTTCTTATTTATGAAATTGTAGGTGCATCATATGGTTACCAATACAGTAGCATATATATATAATTATAATAAATTCAATCACATCAACATAATAAATACAGCCATTAAATTACCCAATAAAAAAAAACACATAATTTCATAAGGTGGGTGAGGGAATCATCCCCTTTATTAAAAAGAAAAGAAAAAAAAATTAATAATTACAAGAGTCAGGACTATGACTTAATATGAGACATTAAACTAGTACCACCAAACTTTTCCTCAGAGATCTGATTCAGACGAGCCACCATCTCATCTGTGAGATGGTTCTGCCAGTCTCCAACCTCACCCTTTCTAAAGAAGACGTTGTTTTCGATAGCAATATTGGCAGTAAATTGTTGCACCCCCGTCTTGTTCACCTCCAAATTACTCAAATTGTCAAAACTGCATAACTTCACTATATCTTCAACAACACCATCTCTCTCTTCCTCTGAAGAAAAGGTTTGACCCAAGAACTCAGCCAATCTTTTAACGCAAGTGAAGATATCTTTCTTCATATCCTCATATGTCAGTATCAGAACCTTCTCGGGCGATTCCAAGCTTGCATTCCAATACCCTAACACATGATCCCAATAGGGTCCAAAGTGATACACCCCTTTACAGAACATGTCCACACCTTCTTCTAGTGAAAGAGGTGGTAGTTCCTTGCCTCTCAACTTCTTCATATGGTACCAACTTGACACGAATACATCTTTAGGGTTGCGAAAAATGTAAACAATCCGGCACCCAGAAGAGGGTACGGACGCAGGTAATAAATGGTAAGGGATGTGAGTGGCGAGGAGGCGAGCCGAAGAAAGGCTGAGGGTTGAAACATTGTTGTTTTGAATCAGAGCTTCCAAGGAGGGGACGCAACCGTGGGGCCCATTGGTGAGCAAAGGGTGCGAGGCAAAATCGAAAACATTTCGGTTTGTAATTGCGAAAATGAGGGCCTTAAGCCATGTGGTGCCACATTTAGGGAAAGTGGCTAAGAGGATATCAGTGGGAAGAGCAATGAAGTGTTGTTGAACCAACATGACTCCTTTGAGAATGGATGAGGTCAACCAAGTATCTTGGTACTTTATGACCTCCTTAGTGACCCAACCATTCTCTCTGGGAAGAGTTAGAACCAAATCTGTGTATTTTTGAAGTGTTTCGCCCTTCTTTTTGGTGTCTGCCATGGAAAATTGCTGAGAAGTGAGAGAGGATGCCATGTAGAGAGGGGTCTAAGATCTGGAAACTTTGAGAATTAATGGCGGTGTTTGTTGGTGGAATAGATCTGCTTTTATATTACTAGTTCTGAGCTACTTCATTGATTTGATCATCTCCCTTTCTTTATATATATATATTAAATGTAAAACTAATGAGTAAATGATATACATGAATTGTCTTTTATGTGATGGAATCTCACCTCAGGTCCTTATCGCATCGCAAAAAAATTTTAAATTTAAAAGCAACGAGTCTTCAAGTACCAAATATTTTACAAAGTTGGACAGTAGCTAAGAGCATCTCCATTAGCATCTTCAAAATTCAAGTTTCCAAATTTGCCATTGTGGTAATTTTAAAGGGAGAGGCAAAAATTTTCAAAAGTCACATCACTATTTTAATTTTTGAATATTTTCCCAACCGCAATGTTCTTCAACAAAATAAATATATTTGCAAAATATTTAAATTAGTAAATTAATTTTTTTAAAAAATTAAACAATATCCAGTATAGATTAAAGAAAATTAAACAATACAATATCCATTACGGATTAAAAATAGTTAAAAACAAATTGAACAATACAATATCCATTATGGATTAAGAAAGTAAATATCGTAAGAAATAAAAAATCAAGCTTAGACTTAATCCAATGGGAAGCTTGAGCTAAAGAGTGAACATATGCATTCCAATATCTCCTTTTGTCGTTCAATAAGCCATGCTTTTCCTACTGGTGTTGGCATCGATTCTGGATCTCTTTGCATGTCTCTTCAACTCTTTCTTGGTTTTGAAGATTCATTTGTTTGATCTTTTCTTTCTCTGCTAAACATGCCTCTCGTGCTATTTAGGTGGTCGTAAGATTTTGAGATTGAGACTGATAATGGGCTGTTGCATTATCAAATCTGTTAATGAATAAATTATGTAATTGGCCCAAAGATTTTATATTCTTATTTCGGCTCTGTGTTGCCAATTTTCGTCTTGGTGGTCGTTGTAATGGTTGAGATTCTTTAACACCGATGAATCATCTTCGCCGATGTGTGTTGATCCTTCAACCAAAGTTGGTCTCATCACTACATTACTTGATGAAGTAGATGAGTTTGAGTAACCAACACCCTCATTAACATCAATGTTGATTCCACTCCTCTTCTTCGGCTATTATTTGTTGGATAATGCTTAGCTACTCATCGGTGAGTAGCTTCACCCTACTCACCCCTTATGTGTTCCAATAACAACATAGCACATCAGCTTTAATAAAAAAAGTTATTCAATGGTTGATCTGAGAAAATATAGAGAATGTAGATTATTTGGTTATTAAAGTTGATATGGTATATTGTTATTGGAACACGAGGGGAGAGTAGCGTGAAGCTTGTGACGACCCTGGTTTTTAGGCCAGCGCGTCCTGTGATGAACCGAAGATTGACCCGATAACGGATCAGATATGCGGAAGCAAAAACAGAAAACAAGACTCTAAGAAGTCAAAATGACCTTCCATGAGGTCGTGGAACTCAATGAGAACTGACGCGAAAGCAAAAGACCAAAAATATGACAAATAAGCCCCTAGGAGTAAAATAGTCATTTATGAAAACTGTGGACTGGGGTGCCACCGAGCATACCACTGGAAGGACAACGAAAAACTAATCATGATGGACTCAAGAATCACTTGATTCGGAGTCCGGATGAAGAAAATATGAAACTCCAAAGTTTCATAAAAATCACATTTTTGGGTTTGAAATCAATACAGAGAGGGTACTTCGCAAGGGGTAAAATTGTCTTTTCTAAAAAAACTGAATGTAACTGAGCATACCGTTAGATAGACCAGGAAAAATTAAAGAATTTAGACTCAAGAATCGCTTGATTCGGAGTCCGAACGAAAAAAATATGAAACGTCAAAGTTTCATAAGAACCAACTTTTGGGTTTAAAATTTGTGCGGCAAGGGTACTTTACAAGGGGTAAAATAGTCTTTTAAGATATAATTTGATGCAATCGTGCATACTGTTATATAGACCAGCAAAAACTAATAAACCTAGACTCAAAAATCACTTGATTTGGAGTCCGGATGATGAAGATATGAAGCCTCAAAGTTTCAAAAAATTAGACTTTCTGAGTTTCAAGTATGAGCAGGGCCTGCACATATTTTCCGAATTCAAATGGGATTTTGAGGGCTTAAATGACATTTTTTGGCAAAAAGTTGTGAACAAACCCCCCCTCCCCCCCCCCCCCCTAAAAAAAATCATGTTTTCTACGTGACTATGTCAAGAGAAGATTTTATTTTACAAGTGAAATACCCGAAATGTCCCTTAGATCAGCACTTTTTCCGGAAAAAACTGGAACGACCAGATTTTCCAGATCTGCGAGTTGTTTTCGGCATCAAGATGATTTTTTTTGTAAAAACACGAAGAAGAAACCCCCCCTAAAATCACATTTTCTACCCAGATTGCAAACAAAAATTAAAAAGAAACAATATAAAGTACCCAAAATACCCCTAGATCAGAAAAGGGCAAGAGGATTAAAAAGCTGCTATATGCATAACAGAAAGCTAAACTTTGCATAGGATTTCTGGCACCAAGGCGACATTTTCTGGAAAAACACAAAGAAGAAACCCCCCCTAAAATCACGTTTTCTAAGTGACAATGTTTAGAACGGAATTTATTTCCTGAAGGAAAACCCCAAAGTGCCCTAAAATTAGATTATGCAACAAAACTTCAAAATGAGTTCATAGGAAGCTCAAAACACAAACGATAAGGTTTTGCCTGGAAACGACTATGCACCCAAACGTAACTTACCTATTTAGACGCGCTCCAATAGTCCATGGCTTAAAAATATAGCCGATGCAAAATCAGACCCCCCAACGGGCAAGAAGGCAAAAATGGACTTGGAATGGAAAACATGGAATCTAAAAATGCAAAACGGGATCAAATGACCGTTTGGCCCTTAGCCATACTTCATACTAGATTAATAAGACCCTATAAAAGAATGAAAATGGAATTCCCACACCCGATGCAATCGTGGTGAAGCAATGACTTGCGATTTTTCAAGTTTTTCATAACATTTCATGAAGTTAAAAAGTTGCATAGAATACAATATACATGTCATTGGCCTCCGGCCTCATCTCATACATATCAAATACATTGAAATGAGTGTACTTAAGTACACATTACATACATAGAATCAAACATACATATTTTGACATATAAGTCTACAAAATGACATATCATGCTAACATTTGCATAAAATGGAAACTTGAAAGCTACTTGACATCCAAGGAATGCTAGGCTTCACGAACCAAGTCTTCGTACCTGAAATATGCCCCAGTATCGTAGGGGTGAGTAACATAAAGCTACTCGTAGGTGATGAGCATGCATCGACCTAGCATTTTACAAATTTATCACCTTAAGGTGAAACATGTTAAAGGGGCTCATGCCACCTAACGTCTATGTCCAAGTGAGACTCGGGGAGCATCCTAAGCTACCTTAGAGTCTAAGCAACAAGAATCATGATATACATACGTGTATGAAACGAATCATCGTTGGAATAATTTAAAGAACACGACAAGAAGAATGCTTGAGCATATATTAACATGAATTGCATTTTCAATACAATTGAACTAGGTCTAGAGTAATCCATACAACATAACAAAAGCATATTTGAATACAAGTTAACAAAAATCACATTATCCATGCAATTCAACAACAAAAAAGCATGTTATACAATGCAACAAGGTTTAAGTTTTCAAAGCCATCAACTTAGAATCTAAAGCACAAAATAACAGTAGTGGTTCATGCCACCTAACGTCTACGTTATAAATGAATCAATAGGATCAATCCTAAGCTTTATTAGAACATCAAAACACGATTTTCAATATCGATGCAATTTAACCAACATTAGAACTTCCAATACAACACATAAAGCACAATTTCGCAAAGTTAACATCCTGTAACTTAAAATGGAACGACAAAAAAGAAACAACAAGTTACAATATCATCTAGTTATCAACTTGAAAATGAAATGCGAAATCAAATAAAGTGGATACTCGGACGTCACGCCGGATCAGACCGACAACATAGTTACTTTAGGGTTACTAGCCCATGGGTAACCTCCCTATGTGCGCACTAGACTATATATAGAGGGACTATCCCCCGTACTAGAACCACGTCCTAGCCATAGTCAAATAACGACATCCCCAAGTTTCCAAAATCAACAAGTTGTGTAACAACGCATATATCAACAGGAATATACAAGATAATCAACTATCTACTAAGTACAACCAAATTTGGAAACCTATACAATACATGCTCTAAATCCACAACTAATATGATATGATGAATGTCGAATCTTCAGTGTGCAATTCGTTACACGCTATGCATGAAAGATGTTAAACATGAAGTGTGCAAATCATTACACAAGGCAACAATATATTCAATAAGGAAAACATATTCTCATGAATACAAACATAGCAACTATGTTATCCAATGTTCAAAACATAACCAAATGAATATACAACAAGTCCAAGTCCATGATTTAAATATAGAAACCACTTCTAAAACACAACTAGATTATGGAGCAAATTGATAGAATTTAAATAGATAAATACAATTAAATTCTCTAGATTTCCGATTCAATTTCAATTAACCTCAATTTAATACATGTTAAAGGGCATGGCAAGGTTATCACCTATATCCATTCTAAAACTCAATTAGGTTGTTATAACAACAAAGTAGAACTTTAATTAAATCATGCTAATTTAAATCCCAAGGTTCTAAAACAACTTCAGATAGTCCCAATTTAATATATACTAGTAAACAAGTCATGGCCAATACAAATATCAAGTTAAAACCTTAATTAAGCTATTGGGACCACAAAATAGATTTTAATTAATTCTTTTAATTAAAATCTCTAGATTTTCAAACTTAACCAAATGCTCTCAATTTAACATATCTTAGAGAATATGCCAAGGACTAATGTAATATCACATTACAAGTTTATTTCATTCAATTTAAGACCATGTGACTTAA